TTTGGTGTAGAGAGTTCTTCTGCCTCCTTAGCTTGACCTACCATTTGTATTTGGTTTGGTCCCTGCTTCTGTGCAGGACTGGATATTTCATTCTTAGGGTGGAGCTTGAGATGTCCTTCTCCTCCCCCCTTAAGTTCCCTGGGGTTCTGGCCCCTTCTTTCCAATTTAGGCCCCTGTACTCTTCCTTTACTCTGGGCTTCTGCCACTCTCTCCCCTTTGAAAGCTTTATCTGCTCTATTATCCACCAGAGCCTTTGCCATTTCTGGACTCTGGTTCTTTTGTCTTAGCTGTCCTTCTTTCTCTAGCTTCACCTGTTGTACCTCTTTCGGTACTGTCAGTACCTCCGTCTTGCACTTGCTGGCTAATTTCTCCACCTTTCCTCTCAAGTCATTTAATTCCTCTTTATACTGGCTTGCCCAGCGGCCCCATCTCCGATTCAGGCACCCCGTGACTATGGAGGTGATCTCTTCTCTCATCCTTGAGTCTATCCCGGAGAGCGCCTCCATCTTTATATTTTTTTCCTGCTGCTTTCGTTCTCCCTCTTCTTTAGGGATTTCTAAGCCCACGTCGCTGGACTGTTCTGGATTTCTCAGGACCTTTAGAAGCAGGGGCTGTGCAGTCTCAATTAGCCTTTCTGTGTCTATTAGGGTCTCTTTCAAGCCTTTAGACTCCTTCAGGTGCTCCTCGCATCCTGCCTTAATCATGGAGGCATGTTCCTCCAACAGGCTGCTTATCATGGTCAGTCTCTTGCTTTGTATCTGAGCAGCCGGTACTGCTTGTTGTTCAACCTTTTCTCGGTATGCTAGCTCCCTGGCTGCGCTCTCTTTTAATAGGGCCTTCAGGGACTGTATTTCTTCCCTCAGTTGGCCCTTGTCTTTCTCTACCCTTTGCCATTGGGCCTGCAACTGTGCACACTCCTGTGTTCTGGCTTTTGCCTCTGTCTCCAGGGACTGTCTCTGCTTTTCTAATGCCTCATGGTTGGCCATATATTCTCTTACCTTCTCTATTTCCTTTGTTATCGCTTCCCCTGCTTCTCCCAGACTTCCTTTCAAGGTTCCCAGCTCTTGCCACTGTTCCTGGCACATAATAGTAGTCCAGGACACATGCTCCTCCAATTGCTTAGCTATTGCGATTAGCTGTTCTCTCTGTGCCTGGGCAGTCTGTACTAGCCGCTGGTCACTCTCCTGCAGTGCAGCTGTCTCACCAGCTGTACCTTCTTTTAGCAAGCTTTTCAGGGACTGCATCTCTTCCCTGCATTGGTCCCTTTCCTCCTCCACCCTTTGCCACCGGGCCTGCAACTCCACACACTCTCTAGTTTTACTCTCTACCTCTATTTCGAGGGACCGCTTCAGGTCTTGCAGTGCCTCGTGACTGGCTGTATATTCTTTCATTCTCCCCATTTCTCTTATTATTACTTTTCTGGTTTCTTCTACCTGTACATGATTTTCTGCCAGCTTCTTTCTAAGCTCCTCAACCAAACGTTCAGCTTGGTCACATCTCTCTTGCCATATTTCCACGTTTTCCCTCATGATCTCCATCTGTTCCGCTTGGTCGCGGATTTCTTCCTGGAGGGCTGCTATGAGGTTCTTGGATACCTCCAGACGTTGTTTCGTTTCTTTTTGTTCCCCCATATCAGGTTCTGTGGATTTCTTCTCCCATACTGCCATTCGTTTCTGCATCTTTCGCAATTTCTCCTCTCTCTGCCTACTTTTCTTAGCTTCCTCTGCTACGAGTCGTTCTACTGCACGAGCCTTCTCTGCCTCTGCTGCCATTAAGCGCCTCATTTCTTTAGAGCCCTCCTTCTTTCCTGGTTGTACTCGCGCCTCTAAAGTGGCCACTTTGGCCTCCGCCTGCTCTTTTTGTGACTGAGCCATCTCCAGTTCCCACTCTATCCGTGCAATGTTTTCCTCTAGCTCACTCACCCGTAATAGCCCCTCAAAGTTCTCTCGTTTCAGGCTCTCCATGTCCTCTATACCTGCCATGACTGTTCTTCAAGTGATCAAGACTCTACCCTACTCTGAACATTTTGGCTAGTTTATTATTGCTTAATATTTAGGTACATGATTTATGGTTTATATCTCAGGCTTTCTATAGGATATGTCACAGGGTGCCCTTACCTCCTGAACTCTAGCCAGAGCAGCCTCTCAGCCTGACATTTCCTCCTTCCTTGCTGGAGCAAACTGCAGCCCAGTTTATACTCCTGGGCCAAAATGGCTGTCCTCATCAGGCACCTGGCTGCTGCCTGTTTGCTGCTTTAAAGTGGCCCCGCCACAATGTGCAATTTAAGAATCAGTTGTCTACTTATTTATTTTTAAGTATGTTTTTGTAGTTATAATTTGGCATTTAGAATTCCATTCATAAATTTTAGAGGAGTTGATATTTACTGTTTCAATCTGACAGCCAAAAAATGTGATCCTGGTTGATTTTATGCCAGTGGTTTTTCCAGTTCACTGAGCCAGTTATTTGTCCTTCAGATTATTTGTGCACCTCCATTTCCATTTACACTGTATGACCACTTGCAGTCAGGAGTTGAGTCTTAGCTTCATGCCACTTCGAAGTCACTAGTTAATGTTGCTTGGTATTGTTTGATCCTGAAGAGCTATATCAAGCCACATCTACCCTTTCTGTTACTTGCAACAATCATGTAACAGGTGTTATTAAGGCTTTAGGGCTTATCAGTCAGAAGGTTGGGAGAAAAATAGAATCATGATGAATTAAATGCGTCTCCAGATGGAGACTCAGAAGAACATCGAAATAAATGAAGTATGCAGCAAGTTAGAGGTGTATAAGGGACTTACTTATATTATTTATTGAACAAAAACAGTGTGCTCAGGGCTGTGTAAGTTAAGTGACAAACATCATACAGTTTAAGTCAAACGTAGACAATACAGATTAGAGACCACAGTGCTAGGCAAAAATCACAGGCAGGATAATTGAACCCCGATATGCGATTCAGTAAGTAATGGGTTAAGGATTGGAACTGACATGTCTCAAAAATAGTGATCAGTAGGGTGGAGATTGTTTCTGCTGGGATTGTTATTAGACCTGAATCCAGTCAACATTTTCAACAACAATATGGAGTAAATATAAAACTTCCATTGATAAAATTTGCAGATGAGACAAAAATTGTTAGATAACTGTGAAGAGAGAAGAGTCATTCACTGATCTGAATCACTTGCTAAGCTGGGCCTATTTAAACAAAATACAGGCAAATATTCTGGAAGACATATAATAGCCAAACACAAGTTATGTATCTTATAACAAGGAATGCAAACCAAACCTACAGAATTTGGCGTTGAAAAGCAATGAATCTGAAAAGGGCTGAAAGGCTAAAGGAGACTAGTAATTCAGCATGAGTTCTCAGAGCTGATGTGGCAGAAGGGCAAACCTGGTCTTCTGGTATATAAACAGGAGAATAGTGAGTCAGAGTAGAGGGGCAATTTATATGCTTACATGATATTGGTGTAACCATGCTACCCTATTGCATACGGTTCTGGTGTTGACATTTTAAAAGGGATAATGAAAAACTGGAGAGGCTACAGGTGAGAGTCATAAAAATGAATATGTCTTACAGTGAGAGACAAATATATCTTTTAAACACTTTAAATGGGGAAAGGGACTTACTCTTGGGGCTGTTCATCAGCTTGTACTAACTTTTGCACTTGCATGATTCTGTAGGGATACAAGTTTGCTAAACTGTTGTGATTTTGATCAAGGTTAAAGTTGCACTGGTTTTGTTATGCTCATAGCACTACGGAAGCATATAAGTGCAACACTGATGTCATAACAGCATTGTATCAGTATTATTTGATGTCAATACAGTTATTACATTTATTTATACCCTTAAAGAACTCAGTCTATTTACCTTATGAAAAAGAAGCCTAAAAGATGACTTGATTATGCAATATAAATACCTTTAGAGAGAGTCCTCAGAGGGGACAGAGACACTTTTAATCTAGTAGAGAAAGGCATATCAAGAAACTAAAGCTGAAAATTAAAAAATAAGGGTGATTAATAATTGGAACAAACTACCAAGAGGAATGGTGGGCTCTGCATTTCTTGGAGAAACATAAGAGGAGAAGAGCAGAAAGAAGAATGAGGAGAAAAGGACATACGTATACACACACACACACACACACACACACACATATACACATACATATACACACACACACACTAAAATCCGAGATGTAAGTAAAGGACATTTAGAAAAGGAGGAAGGAGGCCCTACATCTTGCCTCCGCTGAAGTTAAATTCCACTTGTCAATGAATTGGGAATGAAAACTGCAGGTAAAAAAGAGGGAAGGATGGAGAATACGAGATGAATGTCCCATTTTACTTGTTTGGTTTTAGATTCAGTTTCAATGCATCTATTTTCCAGGATATGTTTAATGAGTACCCATCATGATGAGGGATACATTAAAAGTTGCTTTGACTAAAAGTCAGAAGAATGTTGAAAAAGCAGTACTTACTGTGATAGGGGCATGCTCAAGGCCGGACCTCATGCCAGCCCGCCCACCTGTCTCTGGGCTAACCGCCTGCCTCACTCGTCTGCCATGCCTTGATGTTTCTCAATTGGTTCTAATTAGGCGGGAGACTGCCCATTCTTGCCCCAATGCCAGGGGGCGCTATCCGTGGCTCCGTTCCTCCCATACACTGCAGCCCAAGCCTCACAGATGGCATCCACCAGTGGTCTGCACTGGGTCTTTCATAAAACATACACACAAACAGACAAGCAATCACATACTGGTCTCCAAGCCCTCAGCCCCATCACTGGGGCTCCACACTGGGGTCTTCCACCCCTTGGGGTTCAGGTGGCCACAGGCCTGCCTAGACCTAAGGTCTTACATCCCCACACTGGCCCTTCACTGGGGCTCTGCACACTGCCCCTTCACTGGGGCTTCACACACTGCCCCTTCACTGGGGCTCATTGGGGTCTGCCGCCCCGTCTGGCTCAGGTGGCCATAGCCCTGCCTGGCCCTTTGCCCTAGGGTATTACACCCTGTGAGGCTCAGGTGGCCATAGCCATGCCTGGCCCCTTCTCAGGGCCCCTCCAGCCACAGGACTCACAAAGAGCCTGGGCACTGCTCCAGGTCCCTCTCCTGACCTGGGCCCTGCCTCAGGACTCCCATGAGCCTGGGCTCCCCCTGAACCTGTTGAACCCACCAGGGATGTGGGGCCTAGGGGTTATTGAGGTACCCCGACCCACCTTCCACCGGGGTAGTAACTGGCCTGGTATTTCATGGGGGTCCTGTGCCACTGGGAGCCCCACCTGACCACCCACTCCTGGCAGGGTGCAGTTTTAGATCATGCCCAGGACCAAGAGCTTCCTATCTCTCCCCATAAGCTCTTGCCCTTACCTCCTAGGTTGTTCCTGCTGCAGCTCAGCTAGGCGATGTTTCTGCCTGGGCTGGTAGCAGTACACAGCAGCCTTTATATGCCTAGTGTTCAAAACGGCTGCCCTCATCAGGGACCTGGTAGCTGCCTGCCTGTGCCCTGCCACATTTACATATTAAGAAATCAAAGATCTAGTAAAGTTGGCATCTCTTGAAAAATTTCAGAAGCATTTGGCTAGTATCTCATTCTTCATTTCTCATTACCAACAGAATGTCTCTTTTCTCTTACTATGAAGGACCTGTATGTAACAATAGTATCTTGGTTCCTTAACATTCCGTTGCTGTCCTATTTATTCCAGGATAACAGGTAGATTGTAACTGTAGCATAATTTTTCTTAAGTTCTGGTGCATGGTTTTTTTGGACCAGACCCTCTAGGGAGGACAGAGAAAAACTGCCTAACCTGGGGAATATATTGGACCTCAGTCTCTGTTACTGTTTTCTTTGTGTAGTTATTTTCACCAATTCAATGTGGGCATAAAATACTGCCATTTTGATTTGTTAGCATTTTACACCCATTTTTCACTCTTATAACTAACTCGATAGAGTCTGACCCACATCAAATCAGACCCACTGTTTGAATTTGGGAGTTTTGGTTGTCCAGTTGTGATCAACAACTTGGCAACAGCACCAAAGCAATTCTCTGCTATAGTTAAGTCTTTGACCAGGCACACTAACAATATTAATTATCATTTTTTCCCCAACTGATAGTTGGATTAAGAATCTAATTGGAAGATGTTGTACAGCTGCTAGATCAGAAAAGGTTATTCCACGTTGGGAGCAGGACTACCATCTTCAACCCATTGGAAAACTTGGATTGTTTTATGAGTATCTTGAAATGGGTAAGGAGCAGTTCAAATATGATGTATATGACATTCTCTAAAAATGTTTTAAAGAGAGTTTTTGGGTAAATAATGATTTTATAGATTGGCTTGTTTTAGAGATGAAAGCTTGTCTGAAATGATGAAAGATAGATGTTTCTATTAATCTAAATCGATTAATTGTTTGAAATGATCAAAGATAGATATTTCTATTAATCTAAATCAATTAACTATCTAAAAAGACACGACTTTACTAGCAGTGGTTTATATGAATGGGTTTGTTGCCCCTTCATCTCTTACCAATCCTCCTGAAAGTGTTTTTAGGAGTGAGGACACTATCAGCTTCAACCCCTGTACAACAACATCAGGTTTCTATAGCACACTAATTGGAATTAGGTCCACCTACTTATCTTAGGTTTCTTGAGAGTTCACAAAACTCCAGGTTTTTTTTGGACCAAGCATACTTTCATATTGTTATAATCATATCTATTTCTGCACCACATACCAACAAGTAATGCCCGTTGATTCTTATAGAATCTTCATTTTTGGCTTAGAAATAGTAAATCCCACATTTGAGATGATGACCCTTGAGGTCCCTTACAAACCTATTATTTTGTTATTCTAATTTAGGATTTACAATATAGCACTTAGTTACTTATTAAATTCCCAATCCAGCAAAGTCAATAAGCATATGAAAGAAGTAGATTACTCATATTTATACCTTTTCAACTTTTCACAAACCCAGCACTCTTTCACCGTTTTTTAAATTTTGGTAGATTTCCCTTTCTTTTGGGATTGTGATGTACTTTTCTATATATCTGATCTCACAAGGCATGCCACTTGAGGACCAGATTATGTACCTGGTAAAAAAAAAATCCTGTCTCTGATGGTGTGAGTGAATACATACACATGAAAGTTAATGAATAATTATCCTATATTTTGTGTCTCATTGTAAGTTATACAGTTTGGATTCGTCACTCTGTTTGTGGCATCATTCCCTTTGGCTCCTCTTCTGGCTCTTATTAACAATTTGTTGGAAATACGAATAGATGCCTGGAAGATTACAACCCAGTTCAGACGCATGGTGCCACAGAAAGCACAAGATATCGGTGCGTGGCAGCCAATCATGCAAGGAATGGCGATTTTGGCTGTGGTGACAAATGTAAGTACACAGGTGACAATTCCAAACAAAAGTTTGGGAGTAACTCTTAAATGCTACTTCCAGTTTGAGAGGTAAAGTATCAATAAGTTTCATGCTGGAGCAACTAGAGATAAAGTGTTCAAAATTCAGAATTTAGGACTCTAGCCTAAGTCCCTTTTCATAAAGAATGTGGATGCTTTCAAGAAATCTAAGTCATTTCACTTTTCAAGAAGATATTAAATTCTTCAGAAATCTTGTGTTTAAAATTCATACTGCAGTGGAAAAATACACTGTATCTTTCCTAGCTGTACAGAACATACTAAATATAGAATTAATTTTCTGAGAATTTTCAAGTAAATGCATGCATTTTGAATAAATTAGGTTGTAATTAAACTAAGTTATTAAATATTATTGTTTCTAATTATTCCAGTTATGTTTATAACTTCATAGTTAAGTTTGACTTAAAGCAGTTTTTCACTTAAAGCAGAGATTTAAGCTTCTTTCTTGTGTTTTAAAAGCTTCAATAGATTCTCAAAATGACTGCACTTATCTTGTGAGGGCAGAATAAATTTTCTCAGAATTTGCAAATGAATCTGTTAATCAGTTTCAGTTAAAATTAGTTTAAATGGGTCCTTTACACATTTTAGCACCTGGTGCCAAACCTTTTTCTCCCCAAATAGTCGTAATAATCAAATGCAGAGTCTTCAAACTTCCAGTATATTTTAAAACTCATTAACAACTTAAACAAGCTTGGTAAAGAACAGGATTAAGACTTTTTAGAAGGCAGGGTAGATTTGCACCTAATAGGCTAAACCAGGGGTGCTCAGCCACTGACCTGCAGGCCAAATCTGGCCTATGGAGCTATGACATCCAGCCCACAGAAATCTTCATAGGTTGGAAAAATTGGCAGCTGGGGAGTAGTGGAACCTCCATGTGGCAGGGTTCAGCCCTGCCTGGGCCATTGCTACACAGTGGGATCAGGGCTGGGCCCACCCTCTGTGCATCTGGACTGGACCAAGCTGTTCCCCACACATCTGGATAGGAGTCACTTAACTCTCTTCTTCCCCTCCCTCCCCAACATGTTTGGATTAGGGCTGCTCTGCCCCCACATGTGTGTCCAGATCAGGGCCACTTTGCCCTGCACCCCTTGGTGGTCCGATCAGGTTCAGGCTCCATAACCCCACTAAGGCCAGATGGGGCTCTGCGATGTCAGCCAGAGCCAGTCCACAGCTGGGCCTGGCACCACTCATCTAGCCTACAGGGTAAAAAGTTTGGGCACCACTGAGTTAAACAAAGTAGACAGATATATAGCACAAGCTTTTGTGGGCTGAAGCTCACTTCCTCACATGGTTTGAATGGAAATGCTCAAAGCTGCGCGTAAGAAGGAGAGAGAAATTTTAATGGAAAAGCAGAAGGGGCAGAGAGAGAGGAGAGGAAATCTCTTTTGCCAATGAAATATATATTATAAAGTATACAATGTGATAAATCAGCTTCTTCTGAAGACTAAACTCTGATCTCAACAGTGTCCAGTGCTATCTTTCTAAATTACTGCAGTCTCCCGTTTCTCCCCTCAGCAGACTGAAGTTACATTACCCTCTCACATGGCCGTGATCTCAAAGTAGAATCATAGGGTCATAAGAAACTAGGGCTGGAAGGGACCTCACAAAATCTAGTGCTTCTCCCTGCTCAAGGGAGGATCATCTCTGATTTAACCATCCCAGCAAAATGTCTGTCCAGTCTGCTCTTGAAAATTTCCAGAGATGGAGATTTTATAACTTCTCTAGGGAGCCTATTCTAAAGCTTGACCATCCTCTTAGAAAGTTCTTTCTAACTGCCAACACAAATTTCCTCTGCTGCAGCTTGAGTCCATTGCTTATAGTCCTATCCCCTACAGCCACAGGAAATAGTCTATCTCCATCCTCTTATAATCACCCTTCAAGTATTTGAAGACTGTTATCAAATACCCCATTGGTCTTCTCTTCTCCAGACTAAATATCCTAGTTCTTTCAGCCTTTCCTTATAAGTCCTGCTTCCCAAGCCTCTAATATTTTTTGTTGCTCTCTTCTGGACTCTTTCCAATCAGTCTACATCCTTTTTAAAGTGTGGGGCCCAAAACTGGACACTACTCCAGGTGACACCTCACCAGTGCTGAACAGAGTAGAAGAATTGCTTCCCTTGATTTACATGTGATGCTCCTGTTAAATACAATCCAATATGCTATTGGCTTTTTTTGCAAGAAGAGCACACTTTTGGCTCATATTTAGCTTATGGTCTGCTACAATAGACTCTACTGTAACCCCCAGGCCCTTCTCTGTAGTATTGCAGCCTTGGCAGTCACTCCCCCAGTCTGTTGTTATGCATACAGTTATTCTGTCCCAAACACAGGACTTTGAACTTCTCCTTGTTGAATTTCATCTGGTTGATAACAGACTATTTTTTTCAGTCTTTCTAGGTCATTCTGGATGCTAGCCCCATGATCCAGTGTGTCTGCAATGCCACCCAACTTGGTGTCACCACAAATTGACTAAGCATGTACTTAATCCCATCATCCAAATCATTAATGAGATGTTAAACAATATCAGATCCAGAACAGACCCCTGGGGAACCCCACTTGAGTCCTCCCGACTCAACATTGAGCTCAATGAGAGCTACTCATTAAGCACAATGATCCAACCAGTTATGTAGCCACCTTTTAGTACAGATTCACAGATTCACACACAATTTAGGGATGGAAAGGACCTCGTGAGATCATTGGGTCGAGCCCCACTTCTCTGGGCAGGAAAGACTGCTGGGGTCAAATAACCCCACTAAGGTGTGCATCCAGTCTCCTTTTGAAGATCTCCAGGGTAGGCGCCTGCACCAGCCCCACTGGGAGTCTATTCCAGAGTCTGGTCCCATGAACCATACAGAAGTATTTCCTTAAAACTAGTACTTTCATCTAGGCCAGGGGTTCTTAAAATTTGTGCTATCATGACCCTGAGTGCTGGATGGCAGGGAATGGGGAGCTCGCACGTGGCAGCTGCTGCCACCATCCACCACTCCATGCCACTGCCACATGCTGCTTCCCCACACCACCAGGGTACCCCCTGGGAAGTTTGCTGCTGCTTTTTAAGTTGCTCATGACCCTCTGGGGGGTCACGACCCAGTTTTAGAACCCTTGATCTAGGCTATATTTCCTTAGCTTGTTAATATGAATATGTCAAAAGCCTTGCTAAAGTCTTGCTAAAGTTAATGTATAGCACATCCACTACTCCTCCCTCATCCACAGAGCCTGTACCTTCTTATAAAAGGAAACCAGGTTGGTCAGGCATGATTTGCTCTTGGTGAATCCATGCTGGCTGTTCCTGACACCTTGTTCTCTTCTCAGTGCTTCACAGTAGATTCCTTGAGGACATGCTTCATGATATTTCCAGGGATCAATGTTAGACTGACCAGTCTGTAATTTCCCAGATCCCTCTTCTTCCCTTTATGGGTCTACATTTCCCTTTTTCCAAGCATCTGGGACCTCACCTGACCTCCGTGAGTTCTCAAAGAGGATAGCCAATGGCTCTAAAACTACCTTAGCCAATTCCTTCAGTACCTGAGGATTCATCCCACCCACATAGGGGTTGGGGTGGCACAGGTACTAAGGCACGTGGTTGATAGCCCAGACATCATGCTTTTGAGGCCATAGCAGAAGTGCTCGTGGTACAATCCTGTCAGATTCCAATGAATGTGTGAATTCTACTAAATATTTTGTCACAAGGGCATGGAAAAGGAAGGATCACATCCAGCCCAGCCAACTTGCAAGGATCTGGCTTCTCTAAGTAATCTTTAACTTATTATTCCAGAAATCTAGGCTTCTTCCCTACTTTTGCTTCCAGCCATGCTCATCACTTGGTAGCTGATCCTATTTGTGAAGACTGAAATAAAAAAGCGTAATATACTTTAGCCTTTTCTGCATCAATCTTAACTAGATTGCCTTCTGTACTCCATAAGGGATCTATGGTTTCTCTGGTCTTCCTTTTTGACATACTTGTAGAATCCCTTTTATTGCCTCAAGTCCCTTGCCAGGTGCATCTTAAATCATGTTTGACCTTCCTAATGTTCTTCCTACATGCCCGTAGGATGCTCTTACACTCTCCCCTAGTAATATGGCTCAGTTCCCACTTTTTGTAGGATTTATTTTTGAGATTCAATTCACTGAAAAGATTTCTGTCCAGTCAGGCTGGTCTCCTATTGCACTTTACAGTTTTTCAGTGCTTCAGGATCACTTGCTCTTGTGCCCTTAAAAGAACCGCCTTAAAGTACAGCCAGCTCTCCTGGACTCCTTTCCCCACCTCAGAGTGGCCTCCCAGGATATCCTGCCCACCAGTTCCCTAAGTTTGTTGAAGTCTGTTTTTCTGAAGTCCAGTGTCTATTCTGCTGCTCTCCTTTCTTTTTCCCTTAGGATCTTGCATGAGCTCAATGAGAGCTACTCATTAAGCACAATGATCCAACCAGTTATGTAGCCACCTTTTAGTACAGATTCACAGATTCACACACAATTTAGGGATGGAAAGGACCTCGTGAGATCATTGGGTCGAGCCCCACTTCTCTGGGCAGGAAAGACTGCTGGGGTCAAATAACCCCACTAAGGTGTGCATCCAGTCTCCTTTTGAAGATCTCCAGGGTAGGCGCCTGCACCAGCCCCACTGGGAGTCTATTCCAGAGTCTGGTCCCATGAACCATACAGAAGTATTTCCTTAAAACTAGTACTTTCATCTAGGCCAGGGGTTCTTAAAATTTGTGCTATCATGACCCTGAGTGCTGGATGGCAGGGAATGGGGAGCTCGCACGTGGCAGCTGCTGCCACCATCCACCACTCCATGCCACTGCCACATGCTGCTTCCCCACACCACCAGGGTACCCCCTGGGAAGTTTGCTGCTGCTTTTTAAGTTGCTCATGACCCTCTGGGGGGTCACGACCCAGTTTTAGAACCCTTGATCTAGGCTATATTTCCTTAGCTTGTTAATATGAATATGTCAAAAGCCTTGCTAAA